AAGGAAGGTACAGATTAACAAGATTACATTAGTCTGGGCTACTTACTGGTCATTTATTTCCAGGCCATCTGGAAGTCATAAAAAGACAGCACAGATTAGTTGTTAAATAATATTTTCTTTGATTAAATCTGTCTCATAGTCCATGCCATACACACTAGAATCATTATGAACTTAAAGGAAGGTGTCACTTGTATCTAATACATGACTAACTTAACCATAGGGTATGCTTCTGTACTCCTTTGGCCAGAATCACAGGCGAGAGACCTTTGCTTTCTGCTCCTAAATTCTTACAATGACTTTTATTACTGATGAGATGAGAAACTGAATAGTCACCCTAAATGAAGAGATGTAACTCACGCATTAATTCTATTCACTTCTTCTTGTCTCTTGTGGCTCAGAAAACTTATCTTTCTGGGCTCCTCTTTTTCCTCACATGATAGCAATCACACAGTCTTGTTGGTTCTTCCTACGTATTTCTGTGATAGTTAATCTTCATTAGCAACTTCACTGGATTGAGAGATGCCTAGAAAATTGGTACAGCACAGTTCTGGATGTGACTAAGAAGACATTTCCAGAATGATTGGAAAGTGGGTCAGCAAACTGAGTGGGGATGGTCTCCCTCAACTGTGGGCATCACCACTCCATGGCAGGCTCAGATGGAGCAAAAACAGTGGAAGAAAGGAGAAGCTCATGAACACACACTCAGGAATACGGGTACTGGAGGCTCCATCCTCAGCCCTTTACTTCTTATTAATTGCATAGGCAGGGCTGTAGTTTGTGACCCTCTTGCCTCGGCTTCCATGTGCTGGGATTGCAGGTGTGCACCGCCACACCAAGTTGCTTTCCCCTCCTTGAGCAAGTGTGCTTTTTGCTGCTGCGGTTAGTCTTGGACATCAGACTCCAGATTCCTCAGCCTTCAAACACAGACTTGCACCAGCAACTCTCTGGGGGACCTTGTAGGTCTTCAGCCTTGGACTTGTCACTATCTCTTCTTGTTTGGACACTTGCAACTTCTTGGCCTGAGTAGCAACTGGTTTCCTGGCTCTCCAGCCCACAGATGGCCTTTGTGCAGTCTCTGCTTGTGCAAGATAATCTAATAAGCCCCCTCCTAAAATTATTTACAGCATGTTTTATTTGTTCTGTCCTCTGGAGACCCCTGAACAACATAATCTCACTAACCCATCACTTTGTCTCTGTGCTATTGCTGCTTAATTCAGATCCTCATTTGGTCTTTTGGTCATTTTGACCCAGTGTCATTTCCCTTTAGTCCCTGTAAGCCAGTGGAGGACAAGGTTGTGTTTTTCTCATTTTTCTGTACTAGATTTAAAACATTTTTTAAAATTTATTTTTATTTTAAAGAGAATAAAACCAAACCAAACAAATCAGAATAAAACCAATCAGAACAGAACAATGAAAGCAATACAGGATTTCAAAACAAGACAATAGAAAATCAATAATGGCTACCATAATGCCTCAGTTATCTTCAAAATTGCTGCCCATACCATCAGACATAATAAAATAAAACAAAACAGAACAGAATAAGACAATCAAAACATAACATTGAGCAAAACAAAACAAAATGGAGCAAAACAAAACAAAACAGTGAAAATAATATTGGATTTCTAAACAAGACAGGAGGAAATCTGCATTTGCCACACTGCACACCCTTATCCTCTTAACAGATACTCAGACTGCTGGCCGTAGGCCTGCCAAGTCAATCAAACATTACAGGTATTAAGTAGTTTTGATGCCTCAGTTGCCATCAAGTCAGCCTATCCTCCAGATCAGCCAGTTGCTTATGGGACAGGGCAGGGGAGGGTGTTCTCATCTCCCAGCCCGCATGCTGGTTGGCTCACAGGAAGGGTGAATTGGTTTTTTATTTCTCCTCCCAGACCCAGCATGGCTTCCACTGAATCATGGGAAGGGCAAATGGGCTTGTTTCTCCTCTCAGGCCCTACATGGCTTGCACCAGTCCACAGGAAGGGCAAACTGGTTGCTGCTTACTCCTCCCAGGCTCAGAATGGCCTCTGCTGACTCATGGAAGGGCAAATTGGCTTGCTTCTCCTCCAGGGCCCTGCATGGCTTGCACTGGCTCACAGGAAGGGTGAATTGACTTCTTGCTATTTCTCCCAGGCTTTGCAGACCTCTTCTGATTTTTCTACAGTAGCTTTTTTCAAGGTATCTGGCACATAATATATACCCAGTAAATGTTGAGCAGTAAATCCAAGCAATGGACACTGTATTTAGGGCTTTGAATTTGTAATATTTCACACATTACAAGAGAAAAATCATATTCTAGTGAATGGAAAGTATTCTGCTTACCAGAGAGGCATTAAATTCAGGGCAGCACTTGGTAATTTCATTGCTTAAACTGGCAGTTTTCCCTTTCATTTATGAAACTGAATTAATTATAAAATATAAGAGGAAAAAAAAAGAAAAAAATCCAAAATATTTTTGCAAAAAACCTAAAATATATATCCAATAATGTAACAGCAGAGTTTTTTTTTTTCAAGATAATAACCAGCAAGATAATTCGGGTTGGCTTGATATGACAGATTAAATGTTAGGCAGGGAAAATTATTGCCATCAGGTGGTTAAAGTGACTCTGGAACCTGTGACTTGACCACACATTGTCTCACCTGAGTAGTAGTCCATGCATGCGTTACATGTTGTGCTAGTGTGGTGATGCAGTGAGGTATTGTACCCCAGTGACAGCTTAGTGAGCTTCAGATAATTAAAGGACTAGTCATTTTACTTTCTTAAAAATCGCTTTTTATTTACTTCATGTAGTCTTCCCTTCAGAATGCTAATCTCTATTGAAATGAACTTTTATTTTAAAATCACAGATCGTGACAGACCTGGAAAGGTACTTAAAAAGTGGCTGGATCCAGCCCTGTGATCTTTTTGGAGATGGGGTGGCACAAACTCAGTGACTGATGTGTGCAAGAGTGATCGTGGCTGCCCACCGAGTCCCTGCTGGGTCCTAGGCCAGCATGCAGGTGAGGGAGCTGCATCAGCCGTCAGGCACCCACCATTGCTGGTTTCCAACTCACTTTCTCTGTTTCTCTCCCTCCCTTCCCATAGGGAGCGAACCCAGGCATTCAGTAGTAGTCACTGAGCATTCTCCTCTTTAATTAACAAAAATTAATATATCAAACCAAACCTTTCTAAATGGGATTAGACTCACATATTAGCATCATTGTAATCATTCAGAAATGTTCATCACTATAAATGCAGTTTTCTTTGCATTCTTGCATGGTGATAGAGAACAGGGCCTTCTTGTTTTTATTCAAGATTCTGTTTTCATATAAGACATAAATTTGTTTTTCCTTTTAAACATATATGTCATTTAACTATATTTAATATTTTCAAAAATGAATTAATATCATTTTAGTTTCTGAATAGAAAGCAAGGAAAAATAAACCTACAAGGATATTTTAGATTAAAAAGTAATTACGTATCAAGAGGAAAATACGTTGAAACTCATAATTTACAGAGTGAAAATTAATGAAAAGCTGTTCTCAGAGTCCCTCTCTACCTACTGCTCCTTTTATCAAACTTACTCCAATGCATTATGCTAAATGCATCAGTTTCATTTCCTCTCATGGCTAGTTGCTATTACCTTTCTTTGATGTGACCCCACTGATAAATGAAATGCAAATATTCCAGGAAAAGAATTTCCATGTCTAAAACATAGAAGTTAAATTTCACCTACTAGAAGAATAAGAAAGATTGTCCAAGAGAAGTGTGACCATTCGAGGTCATTCAGAGTTGGGAGGACTTATACAACACCCAGGAGATGTGACCCAGAACCCACAATCCAGACACTGCAAGACCTGGTTCTGAATTCTTGGCCCCACATGGCTATCTCCATGTCCTCATCTGCAAATTGAGCATAATGAGCTTGGTGTGTTGTGAGCGTTAAAGTAGATAAAGCACCTGATAAATAGTAACTGCCCAGAAGACAGCTCATACAGTTATTCCTTTATAACTCAATTTTACAACCCCCTTATTTCAGAGAAAATACAAAATGAAAAAGTGTTAATACCCTATATTGTTGTTGTTATTATTATTTTGTATTCTGATCTTGCTAATGACCAATTTGAGACCACATAATAGAATTTGGGAAGAAGACATATGGTGAATTCTTTCCATCTCATGATCTTGCATGAATTGTGCTTGGATACAACCAAGGTAATTTAGTTCCCAGAAGCACCAGAAAGATCTTACTGTAGCTCAGCCTGGGCCTCAGACCTTTATGACAAGAGTCGTAGACAACTTTGTTTCAAAGCATATTTATGTTGCTAGTGATGTGCTTGGAAGTCTATTGGAAGACTTGGGGCCGGAATATTACTGCTAATTTGTCCTCTGTTTGGAGGAAGAAGGTTGGCTACTGATAAGTATTCTGCCTGTGTACATTTTAAAATTACATTTAAAGGGCTTACCTGCATCTTTTATGTGAAGCAATATATTTTTCAATTTATTGAAAAAAGTCAAATCACAGTATCACATGACAAGAGGAGAAATATGTATCTTCCTCCCCCTTTCACCAAAGCAAAAAAAAGAAAAAAAGAGGAAAGGAAGAAAAAGTCACTAAATACATTGAGTAATGAAAGGGTAATAGATCAAGCCACCCACCCAATTCCATGAAGAAGGAACACAGTAGACTTGGGCCGGCTGTCGTGTGCCGGTGCCTCCATTCTTTCCCTTCCAATAGCCTGCTGGACAGATGACTTTTGCTGCAGGTTTTTGTGTCGTGCTTGGTTGCCCCTGCATCCTGTGGCCAACAGCGTCCCTTCGGCATTTGCACCGAGCCGCCTAAGGGGTGGCTCTCACTCATTTCCCAGCCTCTCCTCCTTCTCACACAGCCTGTGCAGTCAGAAGGCCTCACACACGCCTTTGTGTTTATCAGAGTCATCAGACCCTTCTCTTTTCTTTCAAGCATTTTTCACTGTGGTTTGAGTTGGGTACCAATTGACCAGACTTCACACACCTTTCACTGTGTGACCTTTAACAAGATGACTGTAATTTTATTAAAGCATGAGGAGGAAAGAAATCATAGATGTGGCGATTCCTTTAGGGGGTTCTCGATTCATTTCTGAAAACATATTTTGAGTTTATAGGGAGAAAAACCTCTTAGAAGTGATCATTTTCTATCACAATATCTTTTAAAAAATGAATCTTTTAAAATTGACTCTGCTTTATAATTTATTTCAATACAATATCAAAGTAATTATTTTCCCAAGTTTTCCTTAGACTATCATGTTTTTCTTTCTTTTTTTTTTTCTATAAACTCAGACTCCTATGACTCAGGTTTGTTGGTGCCCATTGTTTTTTAAAAAACATTCATTTTCAGAGTGACACTTAAAAATGCAATTTTTAAAGCATTGTAAGTGTTTCGTTTATAAAACAGAGAGGTGTGGACTCGTGGCCTCCTTTAATATTTGTTATAATTTAAGTGAAATTTTGAAAAGTAGTGCTTATCACTTTCAGTGCATGGAGAATCTAACAACACTACTGAATATGAGTTAATTACAGGTACAAACAATTTGCAGAATTCTGTATCTGGATAGATTAATGTTTTTTCCTAAGAGAGTTGTGTGTTTCTGCCATTTTGATAAATAATTCATTTATTAATACATTTAAAACACTGTAGGGGAAAAAAAACCACCATTGGAGGCTGTGCTGAAATACAGCTGAGGGTTCTGTGTGCTGGTTTCTTAGGCTCCCTGTGCACCTCATGCCTCAGGCAAGGTAGTATTTATTAATATAGAGCCTCGTGTCCTATTATATCAGCCACTCATCCTTGCTGATGAGACGTGACCTGCTACCATTGTGGATTAAACAATGCCAAGTCACCCCAAAATACTGAACAAAATACTGCTTATCCAGTTGATCTAAAACTTCTACACAAATCAGTGCCTAATTCTATGTAGATGGGGAAATTGAGCCCATTCGGAAGGTATGTAGGCTAAGAGATGTAGGCTAGGAAGAGCATCTTTAAAGCAATAGAGCAAAATTCTGACTCTTAAATTTTCATGGCTATTAGAATTTTTTGGAGTTGCATTAGGCAATACTGCACCTCCAAACCCAGGTGTTCTGCCGTAGGAGGATCAGCTGAGACTCAGGAATCTAATTTAACAAGAATCCTGGGTGGTTCTGATATCATTTCCAGCTTCAAAATATGCATTACAGTTGTGCTGGAGCCAGTACCTGGCTGAGAAGTCACACATCAAGAACCTGTATCCTAATCAACATGAGCAAAGGCGAGACTTTAAAGTTGGAGAACTTCGCCTCTAACCTCAGGTTGTCTCTGGTCTCAATTCATTTTCACTCATGTTTTCTCCCTTGTTCCCCATTACATGCTATAACTAGATGTCAGGAGTGTCATGCATAAGGTGACAGGTAGATGTCTAATGAACTTCCCCATGCTGGGGAGTGGACTGGTTCACCTAGGCACACATTCCTTTCAAAAAGTGGTGCAGAGAATGCGGGATGCCCACCACAAGAAGAAATCTCAATATTAAACTTCCAGATGCACTAGCAGTACAGTGGGGGAGGTAACTGTGGTTTGCTTGTCTCAACTCTTGGCAAGCCTCCTTTAAAAATCAACTCTATTCTTAAGAATGTACAGGATTTCCTTTGCAGACTTATGTAGACATTTAAGAGGACAGAAATGACCACAAAAGGCATCAAGAATGCCAAGTTCTTGTATTCCAGCTTTGCCGTTTGGGGCAGACAGAATCAACCTAGAAGAAAAACAAACTGGCTAACATTATCCAAATTTATGATACTAACCGGAATCCTAAGGCCAGCACGAGAGTGCAGTGGGAGTTACTTCTTTCTGAAGAAGGCTGATCATCCCACAAAACGATAAGCGTTAGCAACAACCTTAAGAATTTGAAGTCAGAGGTCCCTGTACTCTTCCACCAGAAACCCTGCTTTAATATTCCTGCGGGCCATTACAGAGGGCAGGAGCTGCGAGGTAGATGATGGGAGGGTCAAGATGAACCTGGCCCAATCAGAGAGCAAATTCTAAGTTCTCGATTTGGCCCCACTATTTATTAGCTGTGTGACTTTGGGAAAGTTACATGAAATTTTTAGCCTCAGGAAAGTGTGTAAGTACACTGACACATAGTAAGTATTCTGTTGTTGTTATTTTATGGTCCTGGGAATTGAACTCAGAGCCTGGCTCATGCTAGACAAAACTCTGCCATTTACTTACATCCCCATCTCTTTTTTATTTAATTTTGAGACTGCATCTCCCTACATTGCCCAGGCTGGCACCCTTCAACTTCTTTCACTGAGATTAAAGGTCAGCACCATCACTTTTCATCCCCGAGCTCAGTACTTCCGCTCGGCATTAGCATCATCTCAGTATTAATGTTAGCCCTCTGGAAGGAGCTAGAAAGCTTAACTTGATGTTGGAATATATGAGCCTCTCTGTTGGGGTACAATAGAAACAGTGGAGCATGTGTACATTCTCCCACTGTCTAGTCATGGAACATGTGTACGTTCTGAAAATCATGGGATTAAAAACTAAATTAAGCTGTCTGCATCTAACTAATATTAAAAACATGAAGGATGCTGCCATGTCAATTTCCACAAAATACTCTTAATATTTGTCTCAATTAATGCAATTTTATAGTGTAAAATTTAATCAGATAAAATGAAGCAGTCTGCATTGGTGGTATAGTGGTGAGCATAGCTACCTTCCACAATGTTGACCTAGGCTCTATTTCCAGCCGGCACAAGGTTTCTTTGGCCTGGGGATGTGGCTCAGTTCAGTGGTAGAGCTCTTGCCTTGCGTGTACAAGATGCTGGGTTTAATCCCTAACACCACAAAAACAAACAAAGGAAAAAAAGCATCAACTTTAACCCAACATTAGAAACTACAAAATAATATACAAAGCCTTATATAAAAGTTTTGGTTTAAAATTCAAGATTATTTTATTTTATTTTTTCAGTGCTGGGGATCGAACCCAGGGCCTTATGCATGCAAGACAAGAACTCTACCACTGAGCCACATCATCAGCCTGTGGTTGTTTTATTGTAACATAAATTTTCTCAGCAAAAGAAGTCAATATTCTTATGATCTCTCCAACTTAGAACAAGATAATGGGATGTACAATGAATACTTATAAAAACTTTAGTATTTCCTACTTTATTTCTACTTCATTATTTTCAGCTTTTGAGGAATGAAAAACTAACAGTTAATATTATACACATTTAAGCAGTATGACATGGTGATTGAAATGTTTACCACAATCAACTTAGCACATGTCTGTCACCTCACAGGGTTACCGTGTATATGTGTGTTTGGTGAGAATAGTTAATATTTACTCTCTTAGCAGATTTTGTGTATACAATATAGTCTTGTTCTCTATAGTTATGATGCTGCACATTAGCTCCGCAGAACCTATTCATCATGTAGTTGAAAGTTTCCTCTTTGGTGGAAGTGTCTCTGTTTCCTGCCACCCACTCCTAGGGTCTGGCAACAACTATCCTACTCTTTGACTCTATGAGATTGAATTTTTTAGATTCCAGAGATAAGTAAAATCACATCAATATATTTCTATTTATTCATCCAAAAACAATTATTGCACACCTACAATGTGTGAGGCTTAGTGGCATAGTCATATAGGATACAGTGGCAAACATTAGAAAGGGGGAGAAAAAGAGGAAAAGGGAGAGAGAGAAAGAGAGAAGAAGGAGAAGAAGAAAGAGGAGGAGGAGGAGGGGAGGAGGAAGGGAGGAGGAAGGGAGGGAAGGGAGGGAAGGGAGGGAGGGAGGGGGAGGGACGGAGAGAGAGGGATTGAGATTTCTGTATGAGCCCTTCCATTTTGTTCACTGCCATTGGTCAAGCTCCAGCTTCCCCATGGTTGACACTTACAATGATGTGTCCATTCTGGATTAGTCTTGCAGAAATCCTGATGAACACTGTCAGAGACACACAGAACAGAGCCAAGCTCAGGCACAAGTCAATGGCTTGAAGTGTCAGGTGGTACTCTTCATAGTGGAGTGGGTCCACACAAACGGATGGGAATCTTGTGTACGGAAAAGGAAAGGCAACTGCATAACCAAGGTAATTGGTCCCTGCGATTCCTGAAAATGAGTAGAAGCAATAGGGGCCAAGAAGAGCGGATTCCAAGGCTACTGCAAAATGAAGTGGACATCCAAGAATGCTCAGAATCACAAAGGTGAAACAAACTTCCCACTGAAAATTAAGCAGAAACAAATGATTATTTTGGAGATGAGATACTTTAAAAGCTCCTTAGCAATAGGAAAAGAGGTACTGATCTCCCCTGCTAGGAAAAGAAGGAGAAATAGGTCACAACTTTCTCTCTAAACCATGGTATTCTCTGCTTCAGATCACACTAGGAGAGAAAATACATGTCAAGCAGCTGAAGTAAAAGTGAAATCAATTCAATTTCTATCATATGTAGAGAATTAGTCTGGGTTAGGGGAAACAAAAGTGAATAAACAGAATCTCTCTCCAGGTATGATGGTGCATGCCTATAATCCCAACACTCTGCAGGCTGAGGCAGGAGGATTGTGGTAAAGGCCATCCTGGGTACAAAGTGAAACCCTGTCTCAAATAGACAAAAACAAACAAACAACAGAATCTCTCCTTGGAGGCCTTGCCATATAGAGTAGATTCATGGACCAATAGTACTATCATTATGTTGGGAGACCATCAGAATATAGAATCTTAGACCTTTCCAGATCTGGTGAATCAGAATCTGCATTGTATCAAGATTTTCACATGTGTTGGTGTTTGAAAAAGGCAGCCTTCACTATGGGAGTAAATCTAATTCTGGCTCTGTGTTATTGAAATGAAAGACATCATAGGTATTTCATCTTTTAGAGAGGTAACAGAGAGATGAAAAAGTGAATTCAGACTGAGAATTTGAGATTTAAAACTATATTGTATTAAAGGATGAGAATGTAGTTCAGTGGTACGGCAGGCATGAGGCCCTGGGTTCAGTTCCCAACAGCATAAAAATAAATGAATAAACAAACAAACAAACAAAAGCAGAGGAACAAGGAGATACATTCTTCCAAAATGAAACTCAGGCATATTAACCTTGACTCTGTGATCCCTAAGAGCAATTTTAGTCACAGGAATTTGTAGAAATTGTTTGGAGCAGACATCAGATTTTAAAAATCATTCATTTGGAACATAGTTTGTTACTGAAATGCATCTTAGTAAGGGCCCCATTGGGTCAAATTGCATTATAACTGGAAATCCCATTCTCCATGTTCTGTCCTAGTGGAGCGGTGAGTTGACTTCAAACCCACTTGACCAGTCTGTCCCACATCTATATATTTACCAGGTATCGCTGTGTCCACTGTTTGTAAGACAACAGTAGAAGCACACCAGCCGTGATGGCCTGTGAAAAGAGAACGGGAAAGTGACATCCACGATATGAGGTTCCTCTGGAAGGAGTTCACTGTCTTTCAGTTTGACGACTTTACCAGGAGTCAGAACGAGCGCTGAATGGCTAAATGGATTTGTGGCTCTGGTCTCTTCTTCCTCTGTGGAAGAAACTGTGATGCAATGAGTGTTATAAAGCCATGATTCATATAGCTCAAAGTTTGATTCTTTGTGTCGCCTTTGTCATTGCAATTACAACCTCTGCTGCTGTGAGGTGTCGCCATAATATGAGTTTAGCTTTATAGCCCTTGCCATATGTTCTAATTTGACTAATTATCTTTTCTTCATCATGCTCACAAAGTTCTAAAGTTGAAAATAGGAGGAACTGGGATAGAGACCTGTCACAGAACCCTGAAATCCCTCCCAGGGGTGGCATTATCTTTTGTTAGATGCTTTCATTTGAGATTCCACAGCCTTAGATTGACAGAGGGATATAAATGCATGATCTCTGCTTCTCAAATACCAAAAATTATCATTAGAATGAATGCATGATGTGGCATTGATTGTTCCGCTGCAGAGATGTCCGGCTTTTCAAAAGAGAGTTTTTCTTTATAGTCCTCATGGAAGGAAAAAGCCCAAAGTGCAGAATGAAAACAGTTAACAAAGAGAGAATAGTGTCACAAGAATTGAGTATTTGATAATGAATCCTCGCCCCCAAAAACCCCTCTGAGATCATCTTTGATTCAACACCAAGTCTGATAAAGAAGACCTTGTGGCAATTGAAACTAGGAGTTGCTTGTTCTCAACCCATATAAATCATTTGATCTTCATCAAGGAATGTTTTGGGATTAAGAGAAAACACCAATAAGAGATATACCTAACATCAGATATTGAATATGCGCAAATCTAAAAACAGCATTTTTGGTTTTTCAGAGAAATAGACACGGTTTTGTGGTATGCTGCTTTTGTGGCTCCAGGTTTGGGATATTTGTTGTTTGGAGACTTAACTTTTCATTTTCTGCTGGCATATTTTATTTTGAATGTTGGATTTAAAGAGTTTGAGAGAGGGAAACACACACATGCACACATACATACACACACACACACACGCTCACTCACACATACATACACACTCCTACACAAAACTCACATAGCTGAGCCTGAAATTCCAGACTTGACATGACCATTCCATAAAACTCCCATGGTTAAAAACAGAACCATCTGTAGTCAAAAGAGGTTCCTAGCTTGATTCTGAAAGAGGAAAGTTTCCAAGGGACCCTATGGAGATTGAGCCAGCATAAATAGTACAACAAATAGTAGATTAATAAGAGCAAGTGTAACTGATGCTACGGGGAGGCCTGGGGCTAGTCTAGGCGTCCAGAGGCTTGGCCCTCAATTGACACATCACTCCTCTGTCATTAATCAGAGAGAAATGTGGAAGCAAGATAAAAGCAAAGGAGACAGACTCACACCCCTCTGTTGCAGAAGATAGCTCACATTATCAGATGCTTGGATTCCAGGTTGCCTTAATTACTTTGGCATGAGCTGTTTCTTTCCTTTCAAAAGTTGAAAAATGATGCAGAATTGCTGTTGCCTGTTATTTCTGCTGTAACTGTCAGCTTGAATTTTGCTTTGCTTACACAAAACTTTGAAAAAGATCTTTCATGGAGTGGGCTGAGTATGAACGCTGTTCAATAACTTGTTAAATTCAGCCTGGGGATGGGACGGGCATGGGATGGCAGCTCAGTAGCTTAGCACACCAGTGACCCCCACCATGCAGGGGCAAGCGTGGGTCTTCCCCCGCCCCGCAAGGGTCGCAGCCACTCTTTTTTTGTTTTGTAAATTTTATTTTTAGATAGGGAGTAGAAGATAATAAAAAAGGAAGAGATTTGAGAATAGAGTAGACACGTCAAGAGTGCAGAGGAAATGAGAAAGAGGGGGTGTCTCAGAGCTGAAAATTTGGGTGCAGCAGTGCAGTTGGGGGAAGGACAGAATGCAGAGGCCTCCCAGCCCTGACTAGGAAAAGCACCCTGCTTGACCTGCTATTGCCTTGCTTTTTGGGGCTTTCACTGACATCACTTGGGTTTGGTAACAATTGCTGCTAACAACTTTGATTGTATGGTAATTGTGAGTCCTCCCATTACATCTTTAAATTGCTTAAGGAAAGGATACAGTTCACAGAAGGGGATGAATTGAAGGAAGCAGAGCGAGGTCACAGCAGAAACAGAAACTTTTTAGAAGAATTACATTAATATGGGACAATTTATTGACATGAAAGCATCTTCTGTGGGTGCACTATAAGCCAGGTAAGTAATAGGCAGATAAATGGATGATAACAGTTGTTAATGTTTATTGAGTGCTTAATATATGCTAGGCATTTGACTGAACACTTCACATGTGTTAACTCACTTAGTCCTTAGACGGCCCCTCACTTGGAGATATTGTCTCATTTCTCAAATGAGGCACAGAGAAGTTAAAAGGAGCAAGACACTAAATAATAATGGTACAAATCATGGTTCTGACTCATTAGAACTTGGAAGTCTGAAAATGCACAAATAAGAACGTCGGCCAATTTGGACAAGATGAAATTCTTTCTACATGAGAAGAACTTGAATGATAAGATATCACTTCTGGGATTAACAAAAATCAATGATGAAGGCATTGTAGGCAACGAGGGTCTGAGGAAATTTGAAAGAGGGATGTGACCCAGTGGGAGGTGATACAGAAAGGGCAGTCCTGGCAGGGAGTGGCATGTGCAAAGGTGGAGAAGTAACAATCTGGGTGGGAAACACGAAAAACAGAGCCCAGAACTGCAACAGGGCTGGCTGCTGGAGAAGAGTAGAAAATGAGTGTTGAAAGGCATGTCAAACCAGGGCGAAGTTCTCAAAAACCAGGCCAATACGTGTGAGGCACTTGACTAAACACTGCAGATAGGTGTGAGTTTTCTTTGGGGACAATAAAACAGTACCAGAGGCTTTTGAAGAAGAAACTAACCTGACTGAAAAGAAAAGCACAGAAAGAAGAGCTAGGAGTCCCAGACATGCTGTCTTGGGATGGGGTAAGACCTCGAGATCTGGAGTCCTTGTCTTCACATCTCATTTAAAACTTTTCTCAGTAAGGAATATATCTGGATTATGGCCTACTTATAAATATTTTTATATCTAGCAAAAATATACTTAAGTATGTGATGCCCTCAAATACTCTCTATTCTGTTCACTTCTATTTCTTATAAATTCTGCTAGCTATTAATAGATTTGCCTTATAGCCCACTAATTCAGTGGTCTCCAGCATTTTATATACCAGACAGAGGTTTCATGGAAGATAATTTTTGTACAGACTGAGGGAAGGGAGTGTGAAATTATTCAAGTTCATTTCATTTAGTGTGCACTCTATGTCTATTACTACGTTGTATTTATATAATGAAATAATTGTATAATGCACCATAATACAGAACCAAGGGGTGGACTGAGTTTGTTATCTTGCAATACATGGTCCCATCTGGGTGAGATGAGAGGCGGTGACACCAAAAATATATTGATTATGTTCAGTTTGCTGTCACTGCAGAGAACCCCAATTCACAAAAATAGGCTGTTAGGAAAAGAATCAGACTTTCAGTGGTTCTGGGGCAATCTTAGGATTTTCTGTCTTGATGTGAATCCACAATGTATGGAAATTTGAGGCTGTCTCAAACATACTTTTAAAGTCATCATTATCTGCAATCTTAAGCAATTGTTCCTTTTCTAGCACACAAAAAAACTGACTCACCTGTTTGTTCACAAATGGGTTGTGGATTCATTCCTTCCCAGTTTAGGGGTCTTTTGTGGCAAGGAAGCAATGTTCAAACTCCTGAAAGCTGAGGTAAGTGATCATGTACCAGCTGGGAGAGAAAAAGCCCTGGCTCAATCTCTTTTAGAATCTGACATTTTTGAAAAGTGTAAAAATTCCAATGTTCACTTATTGCCCCCATAATTCCAGTCTGACTTTGAACACAGCCACTTAATCTGCCAAATTGAACACAGCTGTCAGTCTCCCCGAGCGACAGATTGAGTTTATTGAGCAAATTGAATGTGTTATATAAGTTTTGCAATCCACTCTGTTTAACTAAATGTGTTCCCAGTGATGACTGCTTTTCTGAAAAACAAAAACAAAAATGATATCATTGTCTCAATAGATGCAGAAAAAACATTTGACAAAGTCCATCACCCATTCATGATAAAAAAAAATCTAGAGAAAATTGGAATAGATGGCCTTTATCTCAATCTAATAAAAGCCATCTACAACAAATGAACAGCCAACATCAGACAAAGCAAACAAAAATTGAAAAGTTATACTCTAAAATCAGGAACCAGACAAGGATGTTTATTGTCTTCACTCCTATTCAACATAGTCCTGGAAACTTTAGCCAGAGCAATAAGACAAGAGAAAGAAATAAAAGGAATAAAGATAGGAAAGGAAAAAGTTAAATTATTATTTGCAGATGTTATGATACTCTACTTAAAAGACCCCAAAGACTCCACCACAAGACTTCTAGATTTAATAAGCAAATTTAGTAATGTAGCTGGTTATAAATCACCACTCAAAAATCAATAGTCTTCTTGCATACGAATAACAAACTCACTGAGAGAGAAATCAGAGGAACACCTTTTACAAAGCACCCTCCCAAAAAAGAAATACATAGGAATCAATCTAAGATATAAGATATAAAAGACCTCTACATTGAAAACTATAGTACTCTGAAAAAGGAGATTGATGAGGATGTTAGAAAATGGAGAGATATCTTATGCTCTTGGATAGGAAGAACCAATATACTGAAAATGGCCATACTTCCAAAACTGTTATACATAGTCAATGCAATTCCAATCAAAATCCCAATAGAGTATCTTACAGAATTAGAGGAAACCATCCTAAAATTCATCTGGAATAAGAGGAGACCTAGAATAGCAAAGGAAATCCTGGGCAACAAAGACAAGACAGGGGACATCACAATCCCTGACTTGAAATACTGTAAAGCTATTGTGATAAAAAGTGTGATACCAGAAAAAAAAAAACAGAACTGAAGATCAATGGAATATATTAGAAGATGCAGAAATAAC